TGGTGGGAGACAAGGACCGAGAGAGAGCATAGACTCGCTCCCACTTCTGCATCCCTAGGTCTGGACCTGCTGGCACCGAACCAACCACCTCCAGGGTCCCCAAGCACCACGTTATGCTCCTTGGAGAAGAGGCACGTTGCGGCGCCCTCTTGATACTTAGAGACAGAACTTTAGGGTTGGAAGGACTTTAGCGATCACGTGATTCAAAACCCGCATTCTTTGCAAGAAGAAACTGATGCCCAGAGAGGTTACTCCTGACGGAGGCTGCACCAGCAGGACCAGGGGCCAGTCTCCAGTGCCTCCCCCGGCTCCCTGCTCTCTGATCTTGGACTTCCTATACTAAATTGTCTCACACCTGGCACCCACCAGAGTCCCCTGTATGGTTTTCTTATTCCTTCTGATTAATTTCTCTGTACTCATCCAAAAAGGAAGGGTCTACTAAAACATCAAGTGATAAGTTATGGAGGTTCTGAAGCCAGTGGGATTCAAACTCAGACCTTCACATTTTTTTAAAAAAAATATGTTTTTATTGATTTCAGAGAGGAAGGAAAAGGGAGAGAGGCATAGAAACATCAATGATGAGAGAGGATCATTGATCAGCTGCCTCCTGCAAGCCCTCCACTGGTGCCCTTGACCGGGATCGAACCTGGGACCCTTCAGTCCTCAGGCGGAGGCTCTATCCACTGAGCCAAACCAGTTAGGGCCAGACTTTCACATCTTATTAGCTAAGTGACCTTGGACACTTAGCTGACCTCTGAAAGCCTCAGTTTCCTCATATGTAAACAGAAGATAGAAACATCTCCCTTATTAGGTTACTGTGAGGAATAAATGAATTAAGAAGGTAAAAGGACCTAGTATCATGCCTAAAACATAGTAGGTGCTCAATAAATATGGCTTTCCTTCCTCATCAGGCAGCAGGACTGCTGGCTGGTCCTTGCTCCTGCTATGTCTTACTAACGCAAACATCATCCCATGGTTTTCTTGGGTTTCCAGAGAACCTTAGGTGGAGCATGGTACAAGAGCAGGTGTTGTTGGGCAGACCCAGGTATGACTCTCACCTCTGCCATTTGGGCAGTTTATTTAATTCTTGGCTGAGTCTCCTGAAAACGGGGCTATTAGGATTAGATATAATGTGTGTAAAGTGCCTGGCATAGGAGGCACCTCATAAATGATACCTAGAATTATAGTTAAAAGATCAGAAGAGGCTGATGAGGAAAGACTGGAATAGGAGCCAGCAGCTCTGCCACCCACTCTTAAATGTGCCACTTATCTCCACCTGCCCCTTACTTTGAGCTAGAACATGACTTGAAGAATATGCTGCGAGTTGATTGAAATTATGGTACAACCTGGAATTACGTAATAGAAACAAATTTACTTTTAAGTATTTTTCCTCAAAATGTTTTTCTCCTCATCCTGTCTTCCATAACCATGAGGATTCTCTCCTTTGATCAACCAGAATTCCTCCTCTTCATGAGTCTTAACAGGTGGTCAGGTCATGAGTGACTAAAGATACCCTGGGGACTAAAGCAACTGGAATTGTTTAGTTTGAAAGAAGACGCGGTGGTGACTGGAGGACATTAGCCTATAAGGAAATGAGAGCCTCTACAGTTTCTATCAAAGAAAACTTAGGGGAGTAAAAAAAGACAGATACTTGAGAAAGTAGCAAGTTCTAAACTAAAAACAAAAGCAAACAAAAAGCATCCTAGAAATAGAGCACGTTTACCTATCTGTCTGTCTAAGTCAATTTGCAGAGATGTCCCTCTGACAAATGCTCGTGTTTTCTGCGTCTGAGAGCAGAAGTAAGATTGTGGGACAAGCAGGTGCGCCCACGCCTACGTGACTGTGTGTCTCCCCGTGTGGGAGACAAATCATGGGGACATTTTATATCTGTTTGACAACAATGCAACAACTCTATGTGGTGCATCTGACCGGTTATTCCTTCATTCATGAATTATATTTAAGCCACACTGGATTTCTTGATGACATTCAGGCTGTAAGAAATCTTAACTTACTCTTCGTGGCAGGATCCTAAGATACTTCTCTGTTCTCACTGACATAGAGTTAATGCCCTTCCACCATTGTGTTATCTCGATTTTTCTATTTCTCCCATTTCTTCTATCTTTCCATTTTAATCTTAACTCTGCATTTTTTGGCTCAGTTGAATATTTTTAGGTTTCTTCCTCTTAACTTATTAAGTATACATTCTTTTACTACCTATTTAATAGTTAACTCCTTCCCAGAGATTATGACATGTATCTTTGACTAATCACTGGTACTTTTTCCTCTTCCAGGACAATGCAAGGATTTTAGAACCCTCAAACCTCATTTATCCACCTGGCTTATATACTATTGTTGTCATGCACAGTGTTTTAATTTTCTCTATTTATGACCCTTATGATAATATTATTACTTTATAAAGTCGATATTTGTTTAGATTTATCTCTATATTTATCCTTTTCTTGTCCTTTATGTTTTCCTACATATCAGAGCCACCAACTCGGATCATTTTCCCTGTACAGGAGGACCACTCTTTTTCATTTCCCTTAGTTGGTGATGAATCATTTCACCTTTTCCCCCTGAAAATTTATTTCATCTTAATTTTAAAAAATTACATGGGGATTTGCCTTATTGGACATCAAGAATTTTATTATGAAACTATAGTAATTAAGGGAATGTGTTTTGGACAGGGATAAACAAAATTGAAGTGGAACAGCATAGAGATCTTCTAATGGACACCACTGGAATTCTAATGCAAGCAATGTTCTTTGCCACAACCTTAAACAGGGCAGGAAGTAGGGATGGAAAAGAGGGGTCAAATGTATCAGATGGTTAAATACATTCATCCCCAGTCAATTGATCTTACCACCTTTTAACTGTTCTTGATGTGCTCTCTTCCTTCATCACCCATCTTGCAAGCATCTGCAGCCCCCTTCCCCTCTCTCTTTATCAGGCTCACTTGGTAAAACCACAACCCTGGCTAATCTAAATTACCCAACTACTGCAAGCTTCCACCTTGTTACAGAACATGGCTAAAGAAAAACACGAAACCATCTGACTGGTCTCACCATGAAATTAATGGCCCTTGACTTATATACTTAATGTAATAAGTATGCTTATTATTTATTGTCTACAGTGTGGGATACAAGACTCATAAAGCATATTTAAAGCAAACAAGCAAGGAGCTATTCTCAGTTGAAAGGTGTGGAAACTGGGATTCCTGAAGAGTCAGTGAATTTCCACAAACCTGAGACACAATGGAATCAGGGCTCCCACCCTGGCTGTGTGACTCCCGGCTGCTCCTTCAGTATCCCTGGGGAAGACTACAGCCAGGCAGAGGCCATGCCTACCTATATTTCTAGTCCCCACAGCACTAGAAGGCTCATTAAATGTATATTGAATACATCAATATTTGTAATCTATAGTATAAAAAATTTATATTGTAAAAAGTTTCCTATAAGGAAGGGCCAAAGGAAGAACAAACTCCAGCTACCAAAGTATTTAAAAATATAGTATAGTAGTATATCTACACTAATAAAAGACAAATATGCTAATTGACTGTAACTTTGCTATGCCCAAGCAATGCCCACCAGCCAATCAGAGCAACTATATGCAAATTAACAGAACCAAAATGGCGGCTGGCAGCCACGGATCTGGAGCAAGCAAGAGACTAGGTTGCCCCGGCGATGGGGGAAGCCAAGCTTCCCACCTGCTCTGGCCGGCTGTGGCCTCCGCAAAAGGCAACAAAGTTTCAATTATAGAAGACAAATAAATCCCAGATACTTGCTTCCAGCCAGCCTCCACTGGGAGCTTGGGTGGCTGGGGGCTGTGGCCAGCCTGCAAACAGCCATCAGCCCCTCACCCAGACTGGCCAGGGACCCCAGCAGGACCCTCCATCCTGAAGGGGCTGTGGCCAGCCTGCAAACAGCTATCAGCCCCTCACCCAGGCTGGCCAGGCAACCCAGCGGGACCCCCACCCTGATCCGGGACACCCTTCAGGGCAAACCAGCAGGCCCCCACCCATGCACCAGGTCTCTATCCTATATAGTAAAAGGGTAATATGCAAATTGACCCTAACAGCAGAACAACTGGGAATGACTGGTCACTATGACACACACTGACCAGGGGGGAGACGCTCAATGCAGGAGCTGCCCCCTGGTGGTCAGTGCGCTCCCATAGGGGGAGCTC